TCCAGCTGAAGATGAGGAAGAACTTCTTCCCTCTGAGGGTGACGGAGCCCTGGCCCAGGCTGCCCAGGGAGGCTGTGGAGTCTCCTTCTCTGGAGATATTCCAGCCCCGCCTGGACAAGGTCCTGTGCAGCCTGCTCTGGGTGACCCTGCTTGGGCAGGGGGGTTGGACTGGGTGACCCACAGAGGTCCCTTCCAACCCCTACTATTCTGTGATTCTGTGATTCTGGGGCCTGAAAATCCTCGAGGCTGGGGAAAAAACCCACTTTTGTAGACTCAGTGGTTTTGATTACACCTTTCTGCTCCCCTTACAGCCGAGCAGAACCCCAGCTCCAGCCTCAGGGAGGCTTTGAGGCAGCTGAGTTGTGCTGTAGTTACTGCAGGGTAACGGTGGCGGGCTGGGGGGGTCTCTTTCTTCTTCGCACTGATGTATTGCATGAAAAATCTGAATAAATAGCTGATGACTGCACTGACTGCTGCCATTCTTCAGTTTTGCATCAGATTTCTACCAGGGCCTCAGCCTGGTGGGAGGGTGTCCCAGTTCAGATCACACATTCCTCCCAATCCCAGGCACTTAATCCAGACAGGGGCTGCTGGCAATCCCACCAAATCCCCCCCGCTACACGTCTGGGAGCCCACACACCTCTCAAACTCGGGCCCTCACTACTGACCTGCACGATTGCAGGGGCTCCCATCCATCGCAGCCCGCACATGCCGTGGTCGGAGACCCACACAGGGACCTGCGGATGTGCCCGCGCATTCCGGCTTTCACGGCAGGCGTGCACTACGGGGAGAGCCAGCAGAGCAAAGCTATCCAGATGCACGTTTTCCTGGCCACGTGCACCCATGTGCCTTTTCTCCAGGGCTGCCCCATACCTGGGCCCTTACCTGGATCCTCAGCCAGGAGAGAGGCAGCAGCACAGCATGGGAAACGCACCGAATCTCTCACATGGTGCATGAGGCTGGAGATGGAGAGATCCATGACTCTCCCTGGAGAAAACCAGATTTTATTCACTTTTCTTTCCCTTGAGCAAGCGAGAACCAGTTCCCTCAGCAGCAGATGGGGCTGCAATTCTGGAAGAAGACAGAGAGAGAGAGAGAAGTGAGGACAAGCCCAGCACCATCTGCGTCTTGCTCTTAAACACAACCAGAGCCCGCTGGCTGGTAACGGGGCTGGCCAGGAGGAGCAAGGACATCTCAGGTCCACCACAGCCTGACGCAGGCTCAGAGGGGCTTCTCACTCTCCAAGCCACAGCCACCATCCTGCGATGTTTTGAACCTGGTTCCGGGGGAACTCGGAAGGGTCCATCCCAGCCAGGGGCAGGCGGATGCATGGGGCGATGCTCTCCGCAATGCCCCCGTCGCGCACGTGACAGTCTCGGTGACCAACACATGGCAGCACAGATGGTCTGTCTGCAACCAGGGCCAAAGCCTGGACTGCAAACACACACAGCAGCAGCAAGAAGCTGAAACCTCCCGAAATCCCCATGACTCCCTCTGGGATTTGCTTTTGCAAAGGGGCAAACAACACTCCTCCCTCTGACCAGCTGACATTTTACTGTTTAGGGAGCACAGGGGAGTCTGCAAAATGCAGGTGGAGTTGCAAAATGCAAGAAGAGCAACAGGCTTCCCGCCCTCAGCCCCCGGGGTTGGAAAAGCCTTTTGATAAATCAAAACTAAACTGAACACGGACTGAACTGTTTCCAGTTTGGGAGGGGTTGGATGGAAGGGGGGAGAAGTACTTTTTCCCCAATACATTGGGAAAAAAAAGGAGAGTTTGGGTGCAGGAAATTGGGGCAAGGAAGGAAAAGAGACCGGGGACGGTTGTCCCCCCGATTTACTGCTTCCTTTCCCAGGCTCTACGCCAAGTCAGCCTCCAGCAGGATTTCCCAAAGAGCCCCGTCCCCAGAAGCTGTCCCAGACCCCAGAGCACATCCCGGCTCCCGCGCAGCTTTTGGGGAACCACAGCAGCAGCCAGGGCTGGGAGCC